CATAAAAAAAAAAGTAATAAAGAGCAATGAATCTACCTTATGTGTCCCTTCCAATAGTAGGTCACTTTGCTGTGAATTTGTATGTTTTTTTTTTTTTTTTAAGCCATAGTCAGTTCTATATACTCTGTGATCATCAGGGTGGACTCCACTTTTGAAAGTGATAGAGAAAACCAGTTCTCTACAGGGAATAGAACAGTTCTCTACAGGGAATAGATACTTATACAGTATATAAGCATCACTCTGAAGATCTTAGAATTAGACCCCACAGATAGTAACTGGAATACAATGTGTGATCTTCTTGTGTGACAAAATTTTAGGTATGTAAAATTTTAAATTCTTCATTAAGTCATGAAGATCAGGCTAGTCCTAGGATTCAGTTTCCGATCTTGATGAGTGCTGTGCTTGGTGAAGTGTGGTAAGAAACTGCAACCTCTAAATATGTTACTTCCCTTTTGGGAAACGACTCACTAATGTTTGACCAGTTGTTTTCAGATTGTAGTTTTGTTTTTTGAAGCTATGATGTGTATGCTTTGTTCAGAGAAAATCCTAGGAGCAAGGCAAAACAAGGAAATGAGGAAATCATCTGGGGAAAAAATGTGGCTTTTAATCTCACTACAGAATTTTAGATACGCTCGAGTAGTTCTGGCTTGAGAACTTCTAATTACTTTCTATGAGTTGTGCCAAATGAGATAGGTAACATGGCTGTTGTTGTTGTTGTTGTTACAAACTCAAATGATTTATAAATAAGAAAATAAGAGCACCAAAGTCGAATTATCAGTAACGTAGTTACTTGTGGAGTAAGTTCATTGTAATTAGTCCCTTTCTTATAAGAAGAGAACTGAGAAGTCACTTTTCAGATATATACACAGGAATGATATGTTTTAAAGTTCACCCAAAATATTCCTCTTTGCTGTTTTAGGGTAATCTGGGGTGGTCTGGCCACAGGAGAGTTTCCTTGCTTTAAGGGTATAGAACATTTCCATCAAGAAAGCAAAGGAAAATGGAGGTTTTAAAGAAGGTTTTGAATCAATTACAGAAACTCATTGTGTCTTTGTTAAGGAAATTTGATCAAAGTTATAATATAATAAATTTGACGACCCAAGACAATAATAATTTCCTTAGATCTCTGAAATGCATGTGTGCCCACTAAAAGATAAGTCCCTCCCAGTGTTGGTTGGTGACAAAGGCTACATGTTTGTATCTTTATTTGAAATTTGAAGGTAACAACTGTGCTGTGTTTAGGGTTTTGCTGTGTTGTTTATGCATGTATTTTATCTTATTTTATGCATGTATCCCTCCTACCCCTACAGTTTAAGGGTGGGGGCATGACCACTTCCCCTTCTTGCATCAGTGTAGAGAAGTCCGGAGGCCACACTGATGTTACAGTGGAACTGACCTGTCCTGTTGTGACCTCCCTCTCCAGCCCCAAGTAGCTATGTGACTGCTTTGCCACTTTGAACCTCAGCTTGCTCACTGGTGATGTTATGGTCTTCTGGGGCCATCGTACGAAGTGAACGAGCTAATGAATATCATGTGCTCAGCAAAGTATCAGGCACTTAGTAAGTGCAACAGCGAATGGCGGCTGACGGATTCTCCTAGAGCAGCTGGCTTGTTCTGTCACAAACAGGTGTCCTTGACCCCTTAAAATGTTTTCAGCACTGACTGAGAGCTTGGTGCTTCAACTTTAACTTGTTGAAACTGTTGCTCTTTGGAATAACCCTGTCAGACTGCTCTTTACTAGAATTGTCTTCTTGGGAAGAGAAGCACGGGCATGGAGGCCAGTTAGCTTTGTGTTTAACACGACTGTTGCCAATAGCAGCTCTGTGTTTTCACAACTTTCATAATGAAAATGCTCAATGTGCCCTACTCTCCTGATACAGCTTTAATTCATGACAATGCTACATTTTCCTGTTGTTTTTGTCAAAGCAAATCGAGTTAAGCAGATGAGTTGTTGTTATGATCTTGCTGCCTTGTGGAAGGAATTTTTTCTCCTTTTTTCCATTTGAGGTAGATCTTTAATCTAAAACTGCGGTCTCTGTGCTGATAAGCATCCAGCCTCATTATTGTGTTTAAATATCTTTCAATGACTTTGGATATTCCAGTGAGCCAATCGGGTGTTTTTTCGTCCATCACTTTCTCTCCCCAATTAAAAACCTACTTTAACAGTAAAATATTTGAAAGGAGGAAATAGTATGTGGCTAAGGGTTGTGTACGTTCTACATAAGATCACAGTATGAGCAAATATTAAGGTCCGTGGGGAGATACAATGGCTCTTATACCCATACATTCTGCTTTTAGCACAGAATACATATAGAAAGTATTCAATCAATGTTTATCATTGTTGCAAAAAGCATTTGTATTAGTGTCTAGTCAGGATGACAGAAACCATTCTTAGCTTTCAGACAGAGGGTTTACAATGCAAGGAATTCTTCCCAAATGTGTTGAATGCTCTGAGGGAGACAAAAGAGGAAGGTGCTGTGATACCCCGAGGTTAGTAATTGTAGGAAGTCACTACAGCCCCTGGGACTGGAGGAGCAAAAGGGGACTGGTGTTCCCTAAGCCCTGGAAACCTTACTCTGGTTCTCTGGCTGCTGCTGCTGCTTCTGAAACCGCCAGAGGTTCTGCTCTGTGAACATCTACGAGTTTGCAGGTCTTCTCTTTGCTGGCCTCCCTGCCCGAGTGGCCGGCCTACCACTGCTGGCTGCTGCTACATTGTGCTGTGTCGCAGAGGCCAGCCGTTGTGCTGTGTGGCTGCCACCGCTACCTGAACCCAGGAGTGCTAAGATGCCAAGGCAGCTTCAGGCAGAAGTAGGTGAAAGAAGCTCATGGCTTCTTTCCTTTTCCTAATTCCACTCTCCCACCGGTGCTTTCCATTGGCAGACCTAACCAGAATGGCTGGCAAGGAGCTCTATGGATATGTAGTTTACACGTCTCCAGCTAGTACAGTTGACCTTGGAACAACATGGGTTTGAACTTCCTGGTCCACGTATACACAGATTTGCTTTGCTAAATACGATATAGTACTGTAAGTGTATTTTCCTTAGATGTTCCTAATATAATACATGTAACATACAAAATACGTTCATTGTTATCAGTAAGGCTTCTGGTCAACAGAAGGAGTGAAGTTTTGGGGAGAGTCAGAGTTAGGCACAGGTTTTCAACTGCCTGGGGTCAGTGCCCCTAAGCCCTACATTGTTCAAGGGCCAGCTGTAGCTTTGTGGCTTCCAGTCCCAGAAGAGAGTATGAATGGCAAGTGTAGAGCTGAATGACAACGGAGAAATACCCAGCCCTGCATTGAAACCGGGTCCTCTAAGATTGCAGAAACTAAGAGGGGGGGACATTAACTAAGGAAGGAGATTATTTTATATCTGTTATACAGAAATCTGAAGAATGGGTTCAAATGTTTATGTTCCACCCAGACCTCATGTATATCAGTTTCTTATTGCTCTAATAAATTACCATAAACTTAATAGCTTTAAAACAATATATTTATTATTCCTTAGTTCTGTAGGTCAGAAGTCATATGGAGATCTCAATGGACTAAAATCAAGGGATAGGAAGGGCTGCCTTCCTTTCTGGAGGCTTTAAGGCAGAATCCATTTCCTCCTCCAGCTTCTAGAATTTGCCTGTATTCCTTGCCTTATGATTACCCCTCTCCATTTTTCAAAGCCAGCAAGTTTCTTTCCTGGTACCATCTCTCTGATTCTCCACAGCTGGAAAAAAACTCTTTGCCTTAAAAGATTCACGTGTTTAGACTGGACCTATCTATCCAGGAATCGCTCCTCCTCTCAAGGTTCTTAGTTTTAATCGTATCTGCAAAGACCTTTTTGACATGTGAGATAGAATTTATGGGTTCTGAGAATTTGATCACGGGCATTGATGGGGGCTGTTATTCTGCTCACCACACCTTAGAATTTTAGGTTCATATACATGTGTAGTCCTTCACTCGTTGTTATCTCTCACAGACATCTCAGACACATAACCTTTAAAAATATATCTTCCATCAAGTGTGTTCTTCCTTGGTTGGGGACATCGTTTTCATCCAACAACATAGGCTTGAAGCTTAAGAGTGTTTTTCTTTAATCCCTCATCAGATCGGTATACCTGCTCATTGTACTTCCTAAATATTTCTCCTGTCTACTCTGCCCTGTGATTCTTCTGCCATTCCTCCTCCTGCCAAAGAATGCAAGCATTTTCCATTTTTCTAAAAACAAAATGCTTCTTGATTAACTTTGTCTGGCATTGTGTGAGCTGAGGGGGCTACTGATGCAAATCCGGTGCCCCTGTTGTCTGCCTGAATGGAATTTACAGTCTAGAATGGAAAACACACATTATACAAATAAACCTGTATGACAAATGTCTCAGAAGAGGACATTTCCAATCTTTGCCATTATGGTTCATTTTTCCAAAATTGGGGTTAAAATGTGAATATTCTAGACAAAGGCCATCAAGTTGGCTGCTTTAAATGCAATCAGTAGTAAGTACTTTTTTGTGTGTATATGTGTCACTATTTTAGAACATAAAGATGAACGATAAGACTTAAATTACAAGCCAAATATGGCAATTTAGCTACTTGTAGTAAAATCGAGTTAGAACTGTCTGTAGAGCTCCTCTTCTTCAGTTACTGTCTAAAAGGGGTTAAACTGCAGAATTTGATGTCCCCATACTAGACTTGATAGAATCAGAATGCCTGGGGTGGGGCCAGGGATCTGCACTTTAAACAAGGAGCCCATGAGTGTGTTGTACACACTAACCATAGGGAATTAGTGAACCAGTGGCCACTCACCAATGCTGCCTTGATTTGTAATTCAGAGGCCGGGGCAGAGGAAGGTTTTGTGATTTTCTTACTCTCTGTCCTTTCCTTTTCCCACTGGTAAGTCCTGTGAGTATCCTCCATGAAGCTGCCCTGGAGTTCTAAATTCCTCCCTAATTCCCAGGTCACAGTTACAGCAGCAGGTTAGAAGCACTCATTTTATGTCAGACATACTAGGCCGAAGCAAGCCTTTCATGCATTGTTTTATTTAATGTTTAAAACAATTTTAAAATGTTGGCACTATTGGCTTCATTTTGCAGATGAGATGAAGCTCCCCATTTCACAACTCCTGAGTGTCAGAGAGCTTGGGCTTGGATCCAGGACCTTCAGATTCCAAGGCTCAGATGTGAAAGCATTTCTTGGAGAATTGATTATTCTCTCTGTGTGCCACCATGATGATTTTCACATCCCTTTATTACAGTATAATGGCATTTAAATTGTTGGTTCACATATCTGTTTTTCTTTCTTTGAGTCTCCTGGCAGCAGGAGACTGCCATTTAAATGACAGCACCTGGGTACTGCAGAGTCTGTGGTTCAGGAGGCATTCAATAAAACTCTGTCCCCTTGGTCATTCTTGGATTCATTCATTGAGTCATAGTTGCCTAGAGTGGGTCAAAATGAAAATATCAAGCTAAAGTAGGCAGGGAGTGGCTCAGTCGGTTGAGCATCTGACTCTTGATTTCAGCTCAGGTCATGATCCCAGGGTTGTAAGCCACCCGACTGTGGATCCTGCTTGGGATTCTCTCTCTCTCCCTTTACCTTTGCCTCTTCCCTGCTTCCTCTCTCTCTCTCTCTCTCTCTCAAAATAAATAAACATTTAAAAAAAGTTAAAGTAAGTGTAAAATTTGGGTTCCTGCACACATGGCAAAATTAGCAGATAGAACTTCGACACAATATTCGTATGTACTGCAAAGTGTAGGTATAATTAACTAATGTTCAGGTTTTAGTAAAAAAAAAAAATAATGATAAAAGCTCGCTATTGGCAATTACACAAAATTATAAAGGCGTTTTCCAAGAACCCAAAGACACTAAGAATGCATAATAATTGAAAAGTGAAATGGATACTTTGAATTTTTTTTATCTCATATAAATTGCAAATAATGTAATTTTTCAAGGTGAAGACCCCAAATTATCTCTCTTCATAGGAGAAGATAAAAATGTTTATTTACTTTCTTTATTATTATGTACTATTTCTTATTTTATCATACCCTAATTCTCCTCATAATTATGAATATTAAAAATCAATCTATGTATGTCAGGTAACAACGCATAATAGTGTTATTACCTTATCCCTTCAGGTACATGTGATTAAGCAACCAATTTCTTCTTAGAAACATGTAATAGAAACAAAACTCATAAAACCTACATAAGTCCATTTTCATCTTATTAGAATTCGAGTTTTTAAAAATAATAATAATAAATTCCCTCATAAGTATATTAAACCATTTAATTACAGTGGTGAGTGATTTTCTAATCTTCACATTATTATTGAAGAGTATAAGTCAGGTATTCATAACACATATTAATAAAAGTTAATTAACTTATCAGGGTCCAGTTGTCTGAAGTGGTATTTAAGCATTTATTGAAGAGTAGCTCAGACTCTTCCAGAAAATACTAAAGGCAGGAGCAAAAGCCAGCTAAAGGACTAACCCTGTGCTTTACCCTGCTAGGGGATTTTCTAGAATATCTCTAGACGACTGGATGCTTGCTGCAGAAGCATTATGTATCAGCAGCTTGACTAATTGGCCTGACGTCCCTGAGGTCTCCCTAGGCTGCTGGTCAGAATTCAAACCATCTCATGTCCTTGTCACAAAGCGTATTGTCATAACTGCATTATGAAAACTGCAGACTCGCAGAGCACACTGTAAACTCTGATGAATTCAATAATGACTTATTGAGTTACTGGTTATTTTCATGTATGATTTATCTCATTTAATATTTGGATCCTCGTTCAATTTATAGGCAAAAAAACTGAGGCCCAGAGAGGTTAATAACTGTCTTAAGGTCACAGTTAGCTAGCAGAAAATAAGAGAGTGGAACACAAATCTTCTAGTACGAAACCTAGAACTCTGCACTGTGTGTGAGTGGGTTGCTTTGAAAAACATTTGTCAGGCTGCTAAGAAATTGTTTGCTTCAAGGAAAAGAAAAACCCCAAAATTACTTCAACTGACTTAAACAAAAGAGAAGATTCCTGGTTCAAAAATGTTAGGGCCTCAATCAGGGCTAGGAAATGGAATCAGGAGTTGAGGAGACTGTGTCTCTGGTATTTCCAGATATTTTGTCTGTTTCTTATTTCAGCTTCATCAATCGCTGCCTTACAAATGGCCTCTCTCTGCCTCTGATAGATAATGATTAGTCTAGCCTGTGTGTGTACATGTGTGTGTACTTAATGGAACAGGGGGAGAGAGAGAGATTGGGTGGGAGGAAAGGTGCAGGGCAGTCTATGACCCACACAAGGAGCTGTGGGAGGAGACACTCTGAGAAAGTTTGATGGGCAGCTTTTCAGATGGGAGTCAGAGAGGAGATGGGAGGACATATCTGGTAACGGAATGATCTGTATTATTTATACAAAAGGATTTTCTCGTACTGTTCTGTTAAACTTTGATTGTTAAATCCCTGATTCTCCCACTTGATTGGGAGTAGTTTCATGAATCTTAATTGGTTTCTCTAGTTTGGGTTAAGAGCATTGTGCATATACTTGTGTGTGTGTGTGTGTGTGTGTGTGTGTGTGTGTGTATACTGATATGTCTAACTTATAATTCTATTCCAAATATGCACATATAATTCTATTTATGTAAGCACTTTATTCCTGTTAATCAACTGAGAGTTATCTTCATCAAAGAGATATTTTGGTGTCTCTTCTATGATACAAAAGGGGAAGCATTGTCTTTTTGTCATTTGTAAACCAATTACTTGTGCTTACACAGTTATCATCTGGTTAATATTAACAAAGAGAGCCAGGTAGTGCCAGAGATAAGAAATGGCACTTCTGTGAGTGGAGTGTGCCTGCCTGTAAACTGTGGGTCTCCAGCATCTCTGACATGGCACTATCCCTTGAGTAAACATCTTTAGCAGCAGACATGAGTTAGTGGCCCTCATAAGAATTATCCCACAAAGCAGTTTTTATGGACGGGAGGACTCTTGAGGAAAACACTATACTCATTTCGACTTAATATTATATGAAATCCCTAAACATCTTCAAGTCTAGAAAAACATTTGCTGCTTATATGAGAAGGTCAAAAGTGAAAATGTCAAGCTGCTAATTACCTCCCCTTGTGGGTGGTGAAAGGAATACAGGAATTGCTGAAATCATCCCATAAAGAGATAAATATTGAGTACGTTCATGGATGATATCCTTTTAAAAAACAACTGACGTGAGAACTTTCTTTGCTTCTTACAACTCATCACTCAGCTGTTCACCCCTAAAAACTCAGCCTGATAATCATGTGGCTAATATGCAGACTTTTAAGACCCTCCAAGTTTTTGCATATAGTTTGCACATTGTAAGATGGTGGGAAATAGCATTTAATAATATGTGTATTTTTGGAAATATTGTGTACCAAGAATAAGGCAGTAGAGGTGTAGCCTTAATTTCATTGGAGAGGATAAGCAAGATGTGGATGATGTCTAGCTCGTGCCTTACCATCAGTCAGTGCTGTGCTTTGAACCCCTACTTGCTCCATTTTCATCACTGAAGGACGACACTGTAATACACCTTGTAATGAAGCTCCTTCTAGTTATCATACTTGTGTCCTTTTTTTTTTTTAATTAAAAAAATTAAATATTTATTTTTGAGAGAGACAAGTAGGGGAGAACGCAAGTAGGAGAGAGGCAGAGAAAGAGGGAGACACAGAATTTGAAGCAGGCTGTAGGCTCTGAGCTGTCAGCACAGAGCCCAACATGGGGCTTGAACCTACAAACTGTGAGATCATGACCTGAGTGAGTCAGATGCTTAGCCAGCTGAGCCACCCACGTGCTCCTGTGTCCTTTCTTAATCTATGATATCTCAGAGATCATAGTCATGTTACTTAACAAAAAGTAAATTTTAAAAAGAGACGCTGATCACTGTTGAAGGTTCATTATACTGTTCTCGTTACTTTTTTGAATGAAACTTTTCAGAGAGAGAGGGAGGGAGGAAGAGAAAGAGAGAGAGAGAGAGAGAGCACTATAGAGGATGATGGCAACAGTAAGGAAATGCTGCTTATTATTTCCTCCATCCTAAAAACATGGTATGTTATTTTATTTTAATGAGTCACCTAAACATAAAAGGTGATATAATAGGATATAGGAGGAAGCAGAAATAGAGAGAAATTAGAAAACCTTGCAAGTCCTCTTGAGCCATTTCAGTTGAAATGCTTCATCATTTCATTGTGAATGACATCTAAAATGTACTTATAGTCAAATTTAATGAATATACATTACAGAGATAAATGGTTCATGAATTCACCATCATTTTGGATTATGCATTATTGCTCTTTAAAATCATTAGTTTGGAAAATTGAGATTTGATTCTAATTTGCAATTTCCTAGCATGCCCTGACTGAGCAAAGAAGGAAGCAGTCTGGATAATGGTCAGAGCAAAATTTACAAATGTAATGGGGCTGATCCACAAAGTAGATAAAGCACATGGCATAATCTGCAGTCAACTATAAAAGTTTGACCATGGAAGCACCAATGGAATAACCAGAAGTTTGAGCTCATATATATTCTAAAGCCACTTTCTGCATAGTTAGATTTCTCCCAGAGATTAGTGCATTTATCTAAACAAAATGTTTATTGAGCAATCATTCTTTTCCAGAACTGTACAAATAGTCACTTGAGGACCTTTAAGGTACAAGACCAGATCTTTGCCATTCAAACCTGGGTAGAACTCTTCCTCTTGGGCCATGATTGGATGTTTAATCTCCCATGAGAGGACAGATTCCTTTCTTGGAACCAGAATAAATGATGGGCTCTCTTTTAGTAAAAACTTTAAAATCTCAAGAAGGCCCTTTGCATTCCTAAACTGATTCTGCAGATTCACTAACAACTGAGTCAATAGCCAAGCTTGTAGAAATGCTGTTTATACTTTGTTCTGTTTCCTCACCCAGCCCTCACTCCTCGACCCACTGTATCCTGCTTCTGTCTCCAGTCACTTGTTCCAAGTCACCAGTGATCTCTTTGTCATTAGATTTACTTTTTATTCCTTTTATTACTTGACTTTGAGACCACAATGGATACTATCGAGTACTCTGTTTTAAAAGAAATGTGCTTTTCCTTTGGCTTCCTTGACACTTCCCCTATCTGTTTCATTTTCTCTGCTTCTGGGCAATTTAAATAATGTCTTCCTAGACTTCTTTGTGGGTCCTTGTTCTTCCCAGGACATTCCTCAGGGTTTTGAAGTAGACTGTCTTCTTTCTTCACTATCTTCTTGTGCTGGAGGATAGTACTACTCCTGAAAGCTCAGTCATCATCTGTGGTGATGTTTGATCTCTATCTCTACCAGACCCATGTCCAGAGCTTTGGGGAATATATCCAAATTTCTACTGGATAGTTTAACATTGATGTTTTGCAGAAACCTCAGATTCAGCATGTTCAAAACAGAAAACTTCACCTCACTCCC